TCTCTCCCACCAGTGCAGGCCCCCAGCTACCTTGCCCTCAGCCTATCCTCTCCCTGCCCTATAAGCAGGCCATTTCTCCCACCTACCTGGCAGGGCCCAAGCACCTCTTCGCATGACCCCCCCCCATAAAGGGCCATGTCACATAGATTGGCCACTGCTTGAGAGCCTGACCTTTCTGGACCTCCAAGTTCTCCACCCCTGGGTTTCCTCAGCCTGGCTTCCTCTTCACTGGTGTCTTGCTGACTTCTTGTCCTCTGGCAGCATTTTAGTGTCTCTGCTCCCCAAAGCCCCATCCTTGGCCCATTCTCACTCCAGCAGAAATTCTTATCCAGTAGGGTGTTCAGGACACCGCTATCAATAGTTGTGACAAACGCTCGCGTTCCAGTCTTTCCTGGAAGAACCTTACCCCTACTCCCTTGGCCTCATTGGGCTCTGACCTGCCCTTGACCCCAACATGTTTGTGGGGTCACCCCCACCTGCAGGTCCCACAAGTGCCTCAGATTCATCCTCACTGAAACTTCTCTTCGCTCCAGGCGAGAGCCTCCTGCTGTCCTTTCCGGAAACAACTGGCAACACTGCTGACTGTAGGATAACTGTCACATCTGTTAGTTTGCCTGACAGAGCTGTACACCACTCATCAGTACCTTCCTCTGAACAGCCCTCAGGTTCTGGACCCTTCCAAACCCAACTGTGGCTCCCAGGTACTGGGCACTGCCATTGATTGGTCCATCAGCTTCCTACCCCGGTACCTGCCAGTTCAACACCCACTTGTCTCCTCACACCCCATTTTCTTAAAAGACGGAGCAGTCCTCTGTCCTGCCTGTGCCGCAGGGACTCACCGTTAACATGGGGGTAGTAGCTCCTACCTGAGGGCATTGCCATGACCGCTAAGAAAGTTTCTAATAAGTGACAACCACCTGGCACCTAATGAATGCTCAGTAGATGTCATGACTCTTAGGGTCTTTATGAATTGTCTCCTAAGTAGCTCTTTCCTGGACCTCCTGCCTGCCTCATTGACTTCTCTTGCCTTTAGAGTAGCCTATTGAATTCAGTCCTTACTTCTAAAACAGGCCTCTCGTTCATTCATTGGGAACCCCCGGAGGGCAGGAATGATGCATTAACCAAGATCGAAAGGAGCCCTGTGAAATAGTTGTTATGAATTGGGCTGCTAGCTGCAAGGTCAGCAGTTCAAAACCACTTGCTGCTCCACGGGAGGAAGACTGGGCTTTCTACTCCCGTAAAGAGTTACAGTCTCAGAAACTCACAGGGGCAGTTCTACCCTGTCCCGTAGGGTCACTCTGAGTCAGCATCGAGTTAATGGCAGTGCACAGCATCTACCAGCGTTGAGAGGGTTTGACAAATAAAAAGGCTGCTCAGTTTGCTGAATCCGTTTCATAAATGAGCAATAGTTATGAACATTGATCTCTGCCTGGGTTTGAATCTACCACTTAACATGCTGTGTGGCTTAGCACAAGTTAATTGAACCTCTTTTAGCCTCAGTTTTCTCATCTGTAAAATAGAATACTACTAACAGATATTGATAGAATTTACATATAAACCTAAATGAGAGAATCAACGGACTGTGATAAGCCCAGGTCATGTGTCTGTCTGCAGGACAGAAGGAGTCTCTTCTCATTGATGGTAAGGAGCAGCTCATTAACTGTGCCAGTTGGGTTGTGTAGTGTTTGGGACAGAGCTCTTCCATAAACACCATTTTAATTTTAAAATTTCCCCCCCATTTTTCATAATGGCCATGGAAACAGCTGCCACTTTTTTGTGCCACTTTTATCTGAAACCTGCTTGATGTTGTTATTTTCCGTATCTGGGCTATGTGGACGTGTGATGGGCTGATGGAATTCACTACTGCATGTGGATGGCAGAGAAGAGACTGACACCCCTGCTGGAGACGCATGGGTTGTAAGGGAAGAAAAGACTTAGAAGAGGGACTGCCGGCCTGCACGTGGGAGGAATGAGTCGGCTACAACTTGGGCCTTAGTTCTTCCGCACAGAGGGAGGGAAGCAGGAAGTGGAAGGCCTCTGCCCCATGGGCGGTGCTGGTGCCGGAACCCGGACAGTGCCTTCCTGATGGGGACCCCCCAGCTGAGCTCACATGACACCCCAGGCAGGGTCTGGGCCCACAGAGATCTGCTTCAGGGGCAGAGGCTCTCAGCTTGCAAAGCCCAGGCCCCCGGTGAGCCCACTCTGTGTTCTGAGGACACCACAGGCAAACCACACCGAGCGGGTTGGCCAGCCCACTGCTGGCTTTTTGTACAGCCGGCGAGGAGGCTGATGGCTCTAGATCATACAGCACCCCTCTTCTGGAGCCCAGAGCCACCTATTGGGCCTCTTGGCCCAATCACCAAAGCCCAGGCAAGACACCAGAGGCAGAACGGCCACTCATGTGCTCTGTTTGCCATTGAGCACTGATGCCCATTGCCAGTGAGTCAATGCTGACTCACAGCGACCCCATGGGACAGGGTAGGACTACCCCACTGGGTTTCCAAGACCGTAGCACTTTATGGGACTAGAAGGCCTTGTCTTTCTCCCACTGAGTGGCTGGTGGTTTCAAGTGCTGACCTTGTTTCTTGCCGTCACTTGTCGCCACTGCACCACCAGGGCTGCCTTTGGAAAACCAAACCCACAGCCACCGCGTCACTTCCTCCTCGGTGCCCGGGCCTCCTTTAGTGGAGTTGGGTTATTGAGGCAGACTGCTCCTGTAGAGATACACAGCCTCACGACCCCGTGTAGGATCACTGTGAGTCACAATTGACTCCGCGACCATGGGCTCCCCTCCGTTCCATCCCTTTGGGGCAAGTGTCAAGCCATTGGGCTATGTCCTCAGTGGCTCTTAGTCCTATGCCTCTTCTACAGTCTCAGGGTCTGCTGGCAGTGATTGTCACCTACTGGTTTAAATGTTAAACCATTAGCTCTGTCTGCTTCGTGTGTGTGTGTGTGTGTGTGTGTGTGTGTGTTGGGGTGGGGGAGCAGGAAGGCATTGCCTGCATTCCCTAGCACCACTGAGGTTAGCAGAGGCCCCTGGGAAAACCTGCTCAAGTAAATGTGGACTGTGTGCACGTGTCAGTGAGCCAGTGGCAGGTGTGCCAGCTGACTGCCCTGGCAGCCCCCACAGGTTCCCGAGTGCTAGTGCCTTTGTCCCCGAGGCTGCTGTCCAGGGGCTGTCTCTCCCAGACCTGCTGGCTCAGCATGGTGGGGCGTAAGGAGCCAGAGCAGGAGAAGCTGTGGTTTGGCCTGCCCCCAAGGAGGGGTGGGAATACAGACCCTCTGGGGAAAAGCTGGCTTCACCTCACACGTGTGATTGTCAGGGGAGGGGGGGCATACTGAGACGCCTAATGTGGCCATGCCCGTGGCACCCCCAGCAGGACCTAGTTTCCTCCTCCTCTCCAATCCGAGGAAGGACCACGGTGTGTGTGTGTGTGTGCAGGTGTGGCGGCTGGGTAAGTATTGTGGATACCGTGCAGAAGCAGGGGTACATTCCTAATTGCACCGAAGACCCCTGCCCTTTAGCATCGGTCGATCTAGGGACTGGCAAGATGGCAGCCCAGCCTAGAGTGCAGGGACCCCAGCCCTGGACAGCTCCAGATGGGACCAGTGTCCCCAAGTCCCTGCAGATCTTTTACAGACAAGCAGGAATCAGGATGCAAGTGGGTGCCAGGGATTCCTGGTGGTTTGTTGGAAGTTGCCCTGCTGGCTCGGCTTGGCTCATGCAAGGGAAAAGTGGGAGAAGGTGGGACAGGGCAGGGACACAGCTTATGCAGAAGAGGGGGCGCGGGGAGAGGGGGTTGGCTGAGGCTGAAGGAAGGGCTGTCTGCTGTGGCCGCTGGCAGAGACTCCATCCAGCAGCACAGTTGCAAAGGGTCCTGGCAATGCAGACGGTCCGACTTCTTTCTGGACGAGTCTGCGGAGAGCGTGACCACAGTGCTAGAACGTGCTAGCATCTCCCCAAGCAGTTGTTCCAGCTCCCATGTGTGCTGAAGCCAGCTTGCTCCCACCTGGAGCTCTCCTCAGTAGCCTTGCAAAGATCTGGGTGTGGGGCACCCAGTCAGGGACTCTGTCCTCAGATAAAGTAAAGCCCCTGACTGGGTGCCGTGCATGTGACTGGAGTTTGAAACGCCAGCTCGCTTCCCGGGACCGCTTGTACTCACAGACAGGCGTGAAGAAGGGGACAGGACCAATGTTTCACTTCCTTTCCAGCGCAGTCTGAGCAATTGCTCGACTACATTTCATCCCCGTCTGCCCGTATCCACGTGTGCTCCTGGTCCCCAGACGCTGTCTGTGGACCAAGGAGGAGAATAGTCGAGGGAATTAGCAAGTCTGGAGAGGAGAGCCTGTCTGCAGACTGGCAAATTTAGGATCTTTGAAGACATCTGGTCAGAGACGCTGCGTGCGTGTGTGCTGGGCTGGGTGATTAATAATGGAAAGCCCTGACTTGAGAGCTTCCCTTCCATCCTCCCTCTCCCGATCCCCCCGCCTGGCTGCTCAGCCGCACCCTGGAGGCGTGCAAACCCTCCTGTGACCTCCGCCTGTGAACTGTAGGTGTTGGCTTTTCTTCTCCTTACCCAGCATATGCAGGCACTCTGGTGGTGCCGTGGGTTAAGCACCAGACTGGCTGCTAACCGCAGAGCCAGCCTTTCCAACCAGCCAGCTGCTCCATGGGAGAAAGACCAGGCATGCCTGGGACACCCTAAGGAGCAGTTCCTCTGGGACCCATCGGACCCAGTGAGTCAGAATCCCCACGGCGGCAGTGGGTGCTATGGCTTCCTGGCACAGGTGCTCTTGGATAACTCCTTGAGAATCTGCGAGAGTCCCCCTGGGCTGGAGACCCAACCCAGCACCTCAGGGCCATGCTGGGCTTCCAGCCGACCACACGCTGGAATCACGGTTCGAATGCACACAGCAGTGGCGGGTGTTCACAGGACCTCTAAGGGGGTGGGCATCCTGTGACACACCCCACTCTCATTCTGCGGTGGGTTTTTCTCCAGGCTGATGCAGCTGGACCAGCACAGCCAGGGGACCGCCCAGCAGCTGGTGCAGCTCCTCCACAGACAGAACCAGCTGCTCCTGGAGAGACAGAGCCTGGCCGAAGAGGTGGAGCACCTGCAAGCTCAGGTAGGCATGACTGCGACAGGCCGCCGGCCCACCAGAAGGCCCAGGGCATCTGCAGCTGGATCGTTTCACATTCTCCCTTTCTGAATAGATGAATCTCCAGAATAGAAGCGCATGCCCAGCGATCAACCACGCTGTTCTTCTGATAAGCGGGGAGAGGTCTGGAGACTGCGGGACACAGTGGGCAAAGGCACTTGAAAGGGCACTGGAGTCAGGGACAACCACCGGCCGCTGTAGTGGTCGAGCTGTGGTGGGGCTGTGTGGGGCTGGAAGGCTGAAAATGCAGTGTTTCCCATCCCAGCAGGGCCTCTCATGCCAGCCAGGTTTCTCCAGAGCTTCCAGGAAGCCTGGCCTGACCACCTCCTCCCAAAGGTCAGTCAGCGAAAACCCCTGGATCTCAGCAGAGGGCAGTTTGATAGCACACAGGAAGATGAGGCTCCTAAGGTGGAAGGCCCTCAGAACACCCCTTGGCTGCTGCTGTGAGCACCATTCCAGCCCTAGCTCACCCCCGCAGCCCCCCTATTGCTGAAGGACGCGTGCACGCTCCCACCTTCCTCGCCTGCTCTGACACCAACCGTTCGCTGCTTCTGGGAGGCTGTACTTCCGTGATGGGCTCAGTGCTTGGTTGCAGTGGACACACACACACAGCTCACAATGCTCCCAGTGACGAGGGGAGTTCACAGGTTCTCGGTGGCCTCCACCGCTTCAGAGATCTTGGGGTGCTCTCTCAAATGGCCTTGGCTTGTCCTGTGTCCCTGGTGACTCAGGTCCTGAGGAGTGGCTTTGGGGGAGGGTGCTTTGTGTTGTAGCCAACTGTACCCCCAAGGAACACGAAGGATGGTGTCTAAAGTCGCCCCCTCCAGGAAAGCAGTTTTAAAGACCCCCCACGGGAACAGAGGCTGTGACCTGGTGTGCTCCCCACCTTAATTGGGTAGCGGAGAATTCCCTCCCCAGAGGGGGCACAGCCACAGGCACGGGTTCAGAATTGTAAGGCGACACAAGGGGAGTGACGGCTGGAAGGGCCCTAGTCGCTGCCTCCGTCTCCGCGGCAAGAGTAGACTCGGGCTGGCCTGGTTTGAGCCTGTGTAACACGTATGCAATGATGTAACATGTATGTAACTGTGGCAAGGAACAGCAAGATGGAGCTAGGGAGGGAGAAGAGGCCAGGCTAATGAGCCAGCATGTGCAGGCCACCCTGAAGAAGGGTGCTTGGGGTGAGGGGTGGGGAGGAGGCAGGCCTTGAACTGCCCTTGAACGAGGTATGGAGGAAAGCAGTGTTTTCAAGAGGGAGACACTGTGGATGGGGCGCAGGCTGAATCCTGTCCTCAGCTAGCTGGCTCTTATCGGCCTGCTTCTTCGAGTGCTAGCAGAGCTCCGTGACGTGTGCTATGTGTGTGGCACTCAGATGTTAGCTCTTTCCCGTTGAACAAGCTGCCAGGGTCCCATGATTGTCTCTATTTTACAGATAAGTAAGCTATGTGCACAGTAACCAGGGAGCCTGGGTCTGCCTCCCCAGGTCACCAGGGACAAAGTAAGAAAGAAGGCGTTCAGGTGAGTTTAGAGCATGGCATGGGACCTTTTTATGCCGTGCCTACGCCTGTCAGGGAGGCTGTGCTTTTCCCCCCAGCAAGAAATGTATGAGGATATTGTGGGTCTCCGGGCTGGCCAGGGTGTTGGTCTTTAATTAGGATTGCATCTGGGCGCTCTTGAGTGCACACCTGGCGTCCTGCAGGAAGTGCTGGTTATCGTGAATGAAGAACTCTGGGGATCAAAGTGACGAGAAATTGTCGTGTTCGCCTTTCAAAATGACCACCTAACTACTAGGTTATTGGGCAACTTCGAAATACTGACTCCTCCTACCCAGCTGATCAAATCCTCCGTCACACAGGGGGATCTGCGCACCCAGGACTGAAGGAGGAGGGGAGTGGGTTGGCTTGGGCTCTGTCCCCCAGGTGGTTCTGAAACTACCCTCAGAAAAATGTACAGTGCATGGGGCCCCAAGTCTGCACCACAGGCCACCTCCCCCTCCCCACCCCCACCCCCATCATCTGCGCCCTTGAGAATGGCTCTTCCTCACACACACCTAGACAGCCTCCAATTTTAACTAACTCCTCCAAAACTGCTGGAGGACACCCGTGTTTGAGAACCCCGGAGGGGCAGGGCGTGATGCCGGGCTATCATGGTGGTGAGATCCTTACGCCCTTCTAAGCCTCTGTTTCCCACACCAGCACAGTGGGAAGTCTACAGGGTCCTCCCAGCCTAACTCCAAGGGACACTGGTGGTGTTAAAAGAGCGTCACTCTGCGGTGGGTGCCGGTGCTGGGCAGGCCTCCTGCGCCCCTTCAGCTGAAGTGCTGCTAGGCTGGTGGCCCTCCCCTCTCTTCTAAGGGGCCGCAGGGAAGCCCAGCGCATGGACGCATGGACAAAGGCCCACTCCGCCGTCCGTCCACCACACCCTGAGCACACGGCGGCCTCCCCTCGTTCAGTGTGGGGTTTCCATTTACCTCCCCGTCTGCCCACCGCACAACACAGCACACGGGCCATCAATACTGAGAAACCTTCTCCAGGGCTTGAAAAATCTGATGATTGCCAAATGAATGGGGACATTTTCACAAAATGCATGAAAAAAATGTCTGAAGAAAAGCTAGCAAGTCTTTCTTCCCTCGCCTGAAGCACCAGAAGCGATGTGACCATCCTGTGCTATCTGATACTGGCCCATCTGGCTCCTCTCTCAAGGGACCTTCAGATCCAAATAGTACATTTGGAGTTAGTTTAATATGAAGATGACAAAAGAAATTTGGTCGAGAACATGCTGGTTTTCTGCAGCAAGCACTCATGTTCAAATGGGAGGCGGGGCCAGGCCTGCAGGCAGCGCTCCCTGCTGAACACCCACCCCCACAGCCCGCGCTTTCCGCTTCCAGGGCTGCCTCTGTTGGGGCCTAGCCTCACCTGCCGGGCGGCTTTAGTATTCCAAATTGTTTCTACTTTAATTCCGACACACGAGCAGGACATGCCTGGCATGTCCTAAGTATGGCCCCGTGGAAATTTTGGCCATGAGAATTCCCACTTTGCCCTTCAGCACCACTGCTGGGTGGTGAACCAGCCTGTGGGCTGACAATGGGCAGGGCTTGGCCATTAACCACCAAGTTCAGGGCTTGTGCTTTGGTTTGGTCTTACCTTAGGACTGAATAAAAACAATGGATTTAATTTTTTTTTAATTTTAATAAATTTTACTGGGGGCTTTACAGTTCTTATAACAATCCACACACCGATTGCATCAAGCATATTTGTACATATGTTGCCATCATCATTTCCAAAACCTTTGCTACTTGAGCCCTTGGTATCAGCTCCTTTTTCCCCTTCTCTCTCTCACCCTCCCACCCTCATGAATCCTAGATAATTTATATATATGTATTTTAAATCTTTGATTGGGGGCTTGTACAATTCTTATCACAATCCATACATACATCCATTGTGTCAAGCACATATGTATATTTGTTGCCCTCATCAATCTCAAAACATTTGCTTTCTACTTTAGCCATTAATATCGGCTGCTCGTTTTCCCCCTCCCTCCCCACTCCCCACTCCCTCATGATCCCTTCATAATTCACAAATTATTATTGTCTTGGATAATTTATATTTTACACCATCCTCTGTCTCCCTTCACCCACGTTTCTGTTGTTCGTCCCCCTGGAGGCGGTGAGGTGGGGTTGTACGTCGATCATTGCGATCGGTTCCCCCTTTCACCCTCTTCTCCCTCCCACCTTCCCCCTACCCTCATGGTATCGCTACTCTCATTATTGGTCCTGAGGGGTTTATCTGTCCTGGATTCTGTGTGTCGAGCTCTTATCTGTACCAGTGTACATGCTCCCGGCTAGCCGGATTTGTAAGGTAGAACTGGGGTCATGATAGTGGCTCAACCCTTCCGTGTGACCCTTCTGTGAGGGGATGCCCAGTTGTCTACCGATGGGCTTTGGGTATCCCTCTGACCTCCCTCGTTCACATCGAAATGGTTGTTCTGGGTCTTTAATGCCTGATACCCGATCCCGTCAACACCTCGTTCAACACCTTATGATCACACCGGCTGGTGTGCTTCTTCCATGTGGGCTTTGTGGCTTCCCTGCTAGATGGCCGCTTGTTTAGTTTCAAGCCTTTAAGACCCCAGATGCAATAGCTTGTGATAGCCGGGCAATGATGGCTTCCTTAATCTTCTGCCTCACTCTGGTGGATAAAGAAACTTCCAGAAAGTAGCTTTCATGACCGCATGTAATGGCTATTCGTGTCCTCGGAGGAGAAACAGAGATGTTAACATAGGAATTTAACTCTGCCCCAAACACACCCCCCTGCAGCCCCTATTCAGTCCCGGTGTCTTCTGACAGGCAGTCTCCCCTCCGCCTTTTGTGCGAGGGCTGTCCGCTGTGCTTGAGACACTCCCCTCTTCTGAGGGGCTGAGGGTGGGGCGGGGCTGGTGAGGAACTTTGGTCCCAGTGGAGGTTGGGCCAGGCCTGACAGCTGGGAGGAGGGTCAGGGGCTGTGACCCAGAGCCTGGAGGTCTGAACCTCTGGCAGAAGCGGGGAGCGAAGGGGGAGGCTGGCGTCTGGGAGAGGGGATTGCCGAGGAGATCTGCCACTGAGAGGGTTCTCTTGCTCATCGGATGACTCTATTTGTGGACACGAGCATTTGGTCATGAACATGGTTTCCACGGTTTCCCTCGTCTAGGGCCCTCATGCGAAGCAGGCTGCCTGGCTCGGTTGGCTACGTTCAGCCAGGGAGTGAGCCCCTGTCAGCCCCTCCGTGTGAGACTCCTACAGTTCAGAAACCGTCTGCAGTTGACTTAGCAATGGTTCCTCAGCTGGACCTGGGACTTTTAAGTGTTCTTGGCAGTGAATTTCCTTCTAATTTGATTTAAACTTGTGCGTGGATCCAGCCTCCATATGTGATTATATTCAAGATTGTCGACATTATCTCATTACTCCCAAAGACTCAGAGAATAGAGCTGAAAAC